TTTCACTGAGTTTATCTCTTAAACAAGTGTATCTTAGCTATTGAGAGCTAGCTGTGGAAGGCAATTGCAGGCCATTCTTGGAGCTGCATTGTGAAGTTACTTATTTACCCTTGATTTTAGGGTTTTAGCCTTTTTGGTGCTGTTATTGCTCTACTTTGTTTTTCTAATTGAGAACTATATTCAAGCAAGTGTTATTGACTGAGACAAGGCTGTGGGAACATAGCTTGAGCATCAAGTGAAGTTGCATTGTGTTTTGACAGTTCTATCCTTTGATTGTAGAGAAGTGAAGACTAAGATTTCACATTGTTCTACTTTTGGCTGTGTATTTTATTCCTATATTGTTATAGTAGCTGAAGAGTTTGTACTTGATATATTGACATCTCATTCCATTATTGATTTAGCTATTGAGAACTTGTAAGTCCAAGCAGGGTTGCTTAGGACATGGAGAGTGCATGTGTGCATATTGTTGAAGCTTGTGTGTGTGTGGAGGGAGTGAAAGTCAGTGTCCTAGTGAATACAAGGTAGTTGGAAAGTGGGGTAGTTGGGTGAGTAACTACTTGTATACAGCAAGTATTAATGAGAAACTAGTGTGTGTGTATTGGTTGTGATAACTAGTGTCTATTATGGTGCAAAGGAATGTGCAGAGAGTGAGACAGCTGAGTGTGTAACAAGATACATAGAACTAGTGGAGCTTTTATTGGCTGAGGCCAAGAACCAAGGTTTTTCCCTATTGAGAGGATTTCCTTGTACACCTTGTGTTATGTGCCTGCTTTGTGCTTAATTGGTTTGAATTGATTATCAAGAAAAGTTTAATCAGACCAATTCACCCCCTCTTGGTTTAACAGATGTAACGCGGAAATCACCTAACGAAAGACACCATAGGGACACTTGAACCTGGAGTGTTCTGATACCAACTGTGATACCCCCGAATTTTCATGTGTAGGTTGACCAAGCCCATACCCGAAAGCACGAAAATATAAAAAATTATATGGCAATAAACGAACACGGAATACAAAAAAAAAATAATTAAAGAATAAATAATTTGCTGAAATGAATTCTATTAATAAAATAAATCTGTCCTTACAAAATAAACTCCATAAATTTAAATCTCTAAAATACAACTCAAGAATCCTGTGAGTCAAGGATTCCTAAACCAAAACTATTAATTCATTACCTTATACATAAAGAAAAAAAAAAAAAAAAAAAAATCTAACAATAAATGCCAACACTACTTAGAAATAGATGAAAGACAAGTCTCCAAACTGTGAATTCTTAACCTCGAGACTGGAACATCTAAAAACCTAAAAAATAAAGCATGTGTTAGATGCACGAGCAAACTCCCACTACCAAGCCTCTAAAACCAATAAATAAAGCATCTTTAATCAAGATCATTCTAATTAAAGTTTTAACTTTTAATATAAGATGATACATATATATAAATAAATAATTATATATATAAAATAAAAGAAATCATGTTCATTTAATACGTTCCATGAATTCCAAAACCACTTAAAAATAATTAGCATACCTAAATCCATACATTGGGTACATTCCCTTTTTAAAAGAAACTCCATTAAATTTTAATTTACCTTTTTAAACGGTTAATTATACATTATATAATTAATAACAAAATCTAAAAATATTTTCCTTTAATCCAAATCCTAATTACTTCCCATATAAGATTTTTATTTATAAAAATCACGTAGTAATAATTTATGCTTTAGCAACTCATCTATGCCCCCAAAAATATTATTTTATTCATATCATAAAATAATATAATATCCTTAAATATTAGTTTATTCTTGTATATAACATTTAACACTTCCAACTGATAGATTCATTAACCATAGATGTATAATTAATCATCTAACTTACATAGCAATACATTTATACTTTGGCAAATCAATCATGCCTCCACAAGTAATTTATTTATACTTTGACAAATCAACCTTGCCTCTGGAAGTATGTTTATTTATATTAAGACAACTCAATCATACCTTTACAAATAATTTATTTAATATTTTGGCAAATCAATCATGCCTCTTAAATGACAATCTGTTTATATCTTAGTAACTCATCCATGCCTCCAAAAGTATATTTTTGTCCATACTATTAATTAATAATTCATCCATACTTCCCATGTATGTATTTTATTCATACAATTAATAAGACCATTTATTTATGCCTTTGGCAACTTATCTATTCCTTCAATTCAACCATGTACCAAACTTTACAATTAATAATAAGATAAATCATACATAGGCATTACATGCATATCATAAGAATATAAATAATTCAAATAACCAGCCTATTATGATTTCATCAACAATACCACATATAAAAGCATGATACACCTCATAATACAACTTACTAATTGATTAATACATGCTTATTAAAATATCATAAATGTAAACATTGTTATTTTTATCTTTTCCAATAATTCATGAATCATGAAAATATAATACAAATATCATGCAATTAAAACATATATATTGTTCTCGAAGCAAAAAGTAAGTACTTTACTTTCAATTTCAGCATGTTCAGTTTTTTTTTTTTTTTTTTTTTTTTTTTTTTTTTTTTTTTTTTTTTTTCAATTTTAATTTTACTTTTCTGTTTCCGTTTTCTTTTTACTTTTTATTTTCTTCGGTTTTAATTTCAATTTCACTTTTACTTTTCTGTTTTAATTTAGTATTAATGTTTCCCTTTAACTTTTTATGGTAGACACATTTGAAAACATCTTGTATGGAGCTAAACATAGATTCTATGTGAGGCATCTCTATGAAAATTTTAACCTGAAATTTAAGGGCTAAAATCTGAAAAATGCCCTATGGGAAGCTACTCAATCATACACAGAAGCTGAATTTGATAAGCATACGAAGAGGATCAAAGATATAAATGCTCAAGCTTATGAGTGACTAAAAAAAGGTGCCACTTGATGTTTGGTCAAGATCAAAATTTACTAAGCATTCAAAATATGCTTTAGTGCTAAACAATATATGTGAGTCTTAGAATGCAGTAATCCTTCCTGTAAGAGACAAGCCTATCTTGCACATATTGAAAGTGGATCAAAAAACATCTCACGTTGAGGTTTGAAAATAAGAGACAATTGATTAATTCAAATAGTGGGTTGTTATGTCCAAACATTCAGAAAGAATTGGAGAAGAGGAAAACGGAAGCAAGAATGTGTATAGTTAAGTATGTTGGGTATAACAAATATAATGTGTAGTGTAGAGGAATTGGTGATGCAGTTAAAATTACTCAGAAAACATGCAGATCTAGGCAATGGGATGTTACTGGTATGCATTGCATTTATGTAGTAACATGTTGTTTCATTAGGAAGGAAATGTCTAAGATATATGTTCATCCCTATTACTACCTCTATCCCTTTATAATTGTCCAAATCCATATTGCACAGTTTTTAAGGCAACAATTTTTATCATCGTTTATTACATTGGTAAAAGATGCATTTCCAAATTTGCCCTTCCCTAAAAATTTGTAAAAGTAGTATGGGAAAGTTATTTTTAATGGGGTCCACTTATTACATTGGTAAAAGTAGTATGGAAAAGTTATTTTTAATGGGGTCCACTTATTTTGAAATTTTAAATAGTTTAATCTTTTAGGGGTAAATTGGGAATGTAATAAAAAGTAGTGTATTGATTTTTGAAATGTGACAACTAAAATGGGACAGCAAAAAATGAGATAATGGACTATTAATATGGGACGGAGGGAGTATCACACAGAGACATATTTGAAGGCCTATAGTGACATAATCAACTCCATGCCTATGAGAAGGCTGTTATTACATACCCAACATACTCTATCCATCCTCCAATCTATAGGAAGCTAGTTGGTAAACCAAATAAGAAGAGAAGAAAAAAAAAAAAATTTAAATTGATGAGGTTTAGAATTCAACCAAACTGAGCAAGTCAAAATATAAACTGAAATGTTCAAGATGTTTGGATTATGGCTACAATACAAGAACTTGCAAAGTGGAGAGCCAATAGTTGTTGAGAAACCTCCACCTAAAAAAGGAGGAAGACCACTATCAGCTAATAAAGTTGTTGGAAGAGGTGTAAGGGGGTCTAGAAGGGTTCAAGTGGTGGAAAAGAAGCTGCAAGGGGTGGTATGAGAACTGCAAGGAGTGGAAATGCAACTATTGGATCTTCACACACATATGGTACACCTGTTGGGCCTTCAAGGCAATCCCAAGAGGTATAAGTAAATTCATTTTCCCAGTTATTTGATGAAAAATAATACTAAAACAATCGCAAGCTAACAATTAATAATGTTGTTAATTGGTTTTGCAGGTTACAAACATCTCATTCTCTCAGTTACTTGAAAGTCAGGCATCAACTTCAAGGTGAGTGAAGCTTGTAGGTCAATTTTCGACTTTGTAACTCACAATTTCAATTTCTAACTATTTACAATGCTTTTGTAGGTCAATAATGAATGATAAGTATGCTTATAAGTTAAGCATAAGTGATTTTTGTTGGTTGCTTGAAAATGTCACAAAGGGGCAAGTTGATTGTTAAAGGGTAAGTATATGCAATTGACTATTGAAAACCTGATATTGTGCTACAATAGGTTTTTTTTTTTTTTTTTTGGGTTCTTTTGGTCTGTAAATAAGTCCCTTTGGGTTGGATAAGTTTTTTGTGGTTGGTGGATGATACTTGTTGCCGTCAGATTAATATGTATGATGCTTAATTATTGCACTTTAGTAATATAATATGTTTGAAAATAGTATGCTTATGTGGAGTAATATGGTTATCGTTCTTACGGCTTGTTTGAGTAAATATGCTTATGTCTTAACTATTATGTGTTTAACAGGAATTGCTATGGTTTATTTGTCATATGCATATGCTATGACATTTTATATAGTTTAAGTGTCATATGTTATAACATTGGACATTGGCTAGATAAAGTGTTAATGATCTGAATCAAAACACGTATTTACATCCAAGTAATTCTTTGTAGATAATGTATTATCATTATAGTAGATATTGTGCCAAAAGTGTACCATTTCATTAACATCTCAATACAATACAAGTACATAACAGAGCCCAAAGAAACACCTAAACATAAAACAAACCCCATCATCTAAAACCCAAAGCAATAACATGATGACCCTATCACCTATAACCCAAAACAGTAACACGCTAACCCCATCACTTAAAACCCAAAACAACATCAATACCCATTACCTGTGCACAAAGGCAAAAGTTAAAATCAGTACAGAGAGGGGAAAAAAAACAGGTTTCTAAAGAAACGAGCTTTTACAACCGTAAGAAATAAATCTACCATAGGGCCAACTATAGGTGGTGTAGGTGTTGGTGGCAGCACTGCTTGTGGTGTCAGTGGTAGTCTTAGTACAACACTTTCGCTTTCAGGATTCTCCCATTTCTAATAGTTGTATGTCTCATTTAGACATTTAGAATAGATCCTATTAGGATTATTGTCTAAGTCAGATATGTACACAACATCCTTTTGCCCGCACCAATATTTCCTATTAGATAAACGACTGCTTACTGCTGATCAACTCTTGATGTTGAAGCCATTTTCCTTTAAATGACCAAATAAAGTACTATATGGTACAAAATTATCAATACAAATCGAAACTGAAAAGAGAGAATTTCTTGCAATCTATAGTACAAAATTATCAATACAAATCACACAAATGAAGATGCAGATGGAGGGAGCGAGTCAACTGAAGATGAATAAGTAAAGAAACTAAGCAGAGAGTATCACCTAAAGTTGGAGATTCGAGATCGAACAAGCGAATGAGATGGAAATGCTGAGAATCGAGACTGCAGGAAAGAGGATTTGTTGCTTTGCTGCGAATCACATATCCAATTTTAGGATTTTTTCAATTTAGAGCTTTTGGTTCAACTGATATAAGTGGTATATATAAAGCGTTCTCATTATAATTGATATATATATATATATATATATATATAACAATAATAAGGGCATAAATGGGATTCTATATTATGTCCAAGGCACTTGGGTCACGTGCCTCTTTTTAACGTTAATTATGAACCGATCAACTAACAGTATGTGTGTGTGTCTATATATATATATATATATATATATATATATATATATAATTGTACAACAATAATTAAGGCATATATGAGATTCTATATTATGTCCAAGGCACTTGGGTCACGTGCCTCTTTTTAACGTTAATTATGAAACGATCAACTAACAGTTTGGGTTTGTTTTTTTCAACAAACAGAATAGTTTAGGTGGTAAGTATTTTTTTGATGGTTCAAGGAGATTTTTTGGGAGAGGGAAAATAGTACAGGGAGTTTAATCCAATTATCCCGATATAATATGTATAGTACTAGTAGTAAGTACATGGTAAAAAGTATTTCGTGGCAGCAAAAGAAGAAAAAAATAAACGTTTTCCAATGACTACTAACAGACCGCGGGCTTCAAACTGAAAAGGAAAGTATTTGGATGTCATGCACAGATAAGAGACGGAGAAAAAACAAAACAAAAAAAAGAAAGAAAAGAAAAGGTCGTGGTTTTAGGGTTTTAGCAGTCCCAAATTCAGGGCAGGCCCTGCCCCAAGGCGACCAAGGCCTCAAATTTTGAGGCCCAGGGGATGGAAAAAATAAAAAATAAAAAATAAAAAATAAAAAAAGGTAGGGCAAGTTTCAGACGACACAATCTGCTTCGACACTCCCTCCGCAGGGCGTAGCCTCCGCTATCGCCGCAGGTGACAACGTAAGTTCATCCTCTCTCTCTTCTCTCTCCTTTTGCATGAATCGATCTTTTATATATGTTTCTTTCTTTCGTTCATCTCATCATTTGATTTGTTCTAAGTTTGGTTCGTCTGATTTGGGCCTTTACCTTTGTTCCAATAGTGAAAAGTAGCTAGGGTTTTGTGTGTGATGGCTATAAAAAGCTGAATGAATATATTATGGTTCTCTTAGTATTTTATTAAATGTGTGCCTTTCTACATGTGTCTTTCATGGCGATCGAGTCCATAATCTATGCCAGGTACTCTTTTTTTTCCTCTCCCTAAGTCCACTCCAATCTCACAACAGCAGCAACCATACCCCTTTTCCTCATAATTTTTTGCATTTTCACATTCAATCCCGCGAAAATTAAGGATCCCTTCTAGTGGGTTGAGGGAATAATTAACTTTTTCGATCTCTAAATTATGCTCATACTTAAAAGTGCCAAATTAAGGGTTTTTTATTTTTATATGAAGATACATACCACCATTATTGATGTTATTTGAAGTTGGCTCAGCTAGAATTTCAGTTAATAATACTGTCAAAGCACTTGCCATCAGAATGTACAAACACATGGAAATCAAGAGCAGGCTTTAACAAAACAAAAGTTAATGGTTTTTTCTATTAATTTGCACAGGTCTTCTGTAGCAATGATCAATCAATCACTGCTGGTAATTGGCTCCCAAAAAACACACACACAAAGTGTAGTGTAGTGGATGCTGCATATAACCTAAAAGTCCCACTACTTCTTCAGTACTACAAATTCAGCCTCCTATATATATATATAGTCACCTCATCTCCACATATTTTTGTCATCTGTAATCATCAAATTTTAGTAGCTATATAAACAATGAATGTAAAAGAAGCTGCAATTTTCTGTTCTCTTCATTTTTTATTTTGTGCCTGTGAAAATTTTGCACTCTTTAATTGATAAATTTATTGTTATTAGTTAGCTGTCTTATGCACATTGCACATGCGCACAATTTGCGCATAATTATTTATTGGTGGTGATAAAAATTTATAGTTATTAGTTAGTCGTCTTAAGCACACTGCACAGACGCACAATTATTTATTGGCGGTGATAGATTTATACTTATTAGTTAGTTGTCTTAGGCACATTGTACAGGCGCACAATTATTTGTTGGTGGTGATAAATTTATAGTTATTAGTTAGTTGTCTTATGCACAATGCACAGGGGTACAATTATATTAGCTATAGAATTTGAAAATATCGTGTTAAAATTTCGCTCTCTTATAATTCTTTTTTGCGCGTGTGAAACTCAAGGGCCTCACATTTGAAAGTTCGCCTAGGGCCTCTCAAAATATTTGGAATCTCAGGGCCGGCCCTGCCCAAATCCGAATAGTACCGAAGAGAAGATGGTGACCTCTTTCACTCATTGCTGGTTTCTGTTATTGCTTCGCGTCCCTCTCTGGGATTAAAAATTCTTTTGATTAATATGTATATGTTTTAATTGTTTTCTTTTCTAGGAAAAGGAAGATGAAGCTATTTTGAGGCAGTTACAAGAATCTGTAGACTCCCACCCGGATGACTCCTCGCACCACTTTAATCTCGTAATTATTATCTTGATGCTATTTATTATTATAATTATAATCATGGGTTTGATTCATTGAAAAAGTTTCATCTTTTTTTTAGTAAATTAGGACCCAAATTGATAACTGTGTGAGTGAATTCTTTTCCATATAGGGTGTGTTCTTGTGGGATAAGGGAAAAGAGGCAAAAGAAGTCCAGGAAAAAGCAGCTGAGCATTTTGTAATATCGGCTAAATTGAACCCACAAAATGGGTCTGCTTTTAGATACTTGGGGCATTATTACAACAGAGTATCGGTTGACGGCCAGAGGGCTTCCAAGTGTTATCAGAGAGCTGTCACTCTCAATCCTGATGATTCTGAATCTGGGGTTAGTACCCACTTCTAATCCCTCTCAAAGTTTTTATTTTTATTTTTAATTTTTACCCCCTCTCTCTCTAAGTTTCAAGACTCATGTTTTATTTCCAAAGTCGACCAATTAAGAGTCTTTTTTATGGTTCAAGTAATTCATTGTGTATTCAATTTAATTTGTGATTGTTTATGTACAAACATACATGCACACACACATGCTAGTATAAGAGTCGGAAATCTTTTATGGATGGTTAAAATATTTAGTGATAGAATATATTTGTAGTATGTATGTTGAATATAGCAAGTATCTAAAAGATATTGATTTGAGAACTAAAAACAAACAAATAGACTTAAAAAAATAATAAAATAAAAAACAAAAACAAAACAAATACAAAAACAAATAGAACTTAAGAGAGTTTCTATTAATTTAAATAAGAAAAAAAAAAAAAAGTAATATCGAGGAGTACGGAGTTTTTAATTTTCATATGCTTCCTCTTTTAGTATAATTTTTTATATATTAAAAGGAAGAAATTTGGATTTAAAAAATTTGTTAAATTATTAACTTTCTATCAAGCTGTCATCCTTTATTCTTATATGCACAATATATATTAGTTAAAAATTTTCAATCAAACTAAAGAATAAAAAATCTATATAAGTTTCTTTATTGTGTGTGACAATTAATGCACAATATATATTAGTTAAAAAATTTCAATCAAACTAAAGAATAAAAAATCTATAAAAGTTTCTTTATTACAAAAAAAAAAAAAAAGAGGAGCAAAAACCAAGATAAAAAAATGCTAACAAGCAAAATTAGAGAGAGAATGAAATCTGAACCTTCAGGTTGTTATTGGCTCCAATATCACGCTTCGGTAACTTTGAGAATGAAATCAATGTAGAGGGAGAATGGAAAAAGAACCATCTATTTAGTCTCCCAAGTGAAAACAACAACTGCCTATTACATAATATATATATATATATATATATATATCAGTTCTTATAAAAAGCTTATAAATTTATAATAAACAAATACAAGATATCTAAATACACACACACACACACACATGTATAGATTGCTTGAGAAAGTAAAATAGACTGGTGTTGTTCTAGAGAGAGATTTACCCAGTAAAGATACTTGAGAAGATTTTGAAGATCAAACGATTGATTGAAAAAAGCAAACTTTGTGATTTATGATGGTGGTGATGTAGGTAGAACTTTTAATCAGTGTTATTAAATGTTTAAGGCGCACCAAGGCGCTAGAGGTCCTTTGGAGCCTAGGCGCAAGGCACGCGGCGAGGCGCGCGCCTGAGTGAAGTGAAGTGAGGTTAAACTACCATAAATGCATTCATATCTCACAAGTCATATCAATATTCTAGAAATTAATATCAAATATAAAATAGTAAATCCATCAAATATATAAGTATTCAAGAACCATAAAACATAGCACAAATTTATATCTCCTATAATTATTGAATAGGGGAAAATGAAAAAATTAGGAGTAAATGAAAAGTTTTATCCAATACAAATTATCCTTGAGGATGACCATGAAGCGTTCTTTTCTTGAGGCAGCGAGACTTCCTTGTCTTAACCTCAACAGAGAGATCGATTGCTTTTCAATTGGAGAGGGTATGGTGTTTAGGGTTGATTGTCACAGCACGAGGAGCCGCAAAACTGTTTTGAAATCATGCCTTGTTGGACGCTTCGATAGAGATGTGGGAAGTATCGAGAGGATTGAGCGGTGGGCGTAACCTGGCAGATTTCGTGTGGGGTGGTGGTTTCCCCTTTGTCTGATTGTCTTTTTCTATTCAGATTGCCATCGGAGGATGAGGCACAAAGGGTTTTGATCTCTGGAAAGAAGAAATGGGGAGATGCTACCCTATCAATCGACGTTTGGTACTTTGCGGTAGGTGTTCGGCGGTGAAACCTAGAGACAGGAGAAGAAGGGTGGTGTTGTACGGCCTGCCCTTTCATCTATGGTGTCAGAAATTGTTTGAAGCCATAGGGGAGATGTGTGGTGGTTTCAGTTGCGTGGAGGCAGACGACAATGTGGATGGAGAGAGAGTTTTCATCCATGTTTCTGATGGAGGAGCGATTCCGGTCTTTGTCTTCGTAGAGGATCAGTGAATGGCCTTCAAGGTCGCTTTGTCGGAGGAATCCACTCCATCTATCCTTCTGAAATCTACTCTTGGCTCACAAGATGGACGCGAGGAGATGAGTTATGGAAGGCATCGTCGGCCTTCAGCTTGGCGGAGGTTTAGATCCATCTCGGCCCTCAAGGATAGAGACGCGTGCGTTTCAACGCACCTTATGCGAGTGGGGAACGGGGCTCTATAAGGAGTACACATGCGCGTACTAAGGATGTCCATACATGTGGATAAGCTTGTGATAGGTTGGGAAACGTTTATGCAAAGGAGGCTGACAATGATGGGCCTATTTTGAATCATGGGCCTCACAGGCCCAAGTCTGGATCAATGTTTTGGGCTGGGCTTCGGGTACACCAAGGGATTAAGAGGAAGGTCCGGCGAGGGCCCAATAGCTGTTTGTCCATTTCCTTTCCAAATGACAAGCCCATCCCAAATGGCCTTACGGGGCCCCGTGATGGAAGATCTGCCTAGGCCCACGTCCAGCCCTTAACACAGTGCTTCACATCTAGGGATTTCTCATCTGTTAGTAGAAATTGGTCTGTGTCTGAGAAAACAAGGAGGATGAAGATTAGTGCAAGCAAGACTGGTTTGAATCCGGAAGAGATGATTTTTTAACACGATAAGTGTTGTTGTTTTGTTGCTTTTGATACACAAAAGAGCCAATCCTCTCTGCTCTTGATTCAGCGAATGAAAGGTGCCCTAAATCTTTACATCGGAGCTTTCAGCCGTCCCGCCATGGTTCTCGATGGTCCTGCAACGATAAACAAAAGTGGATAGCTTGTTCTCCTGCTTTCATCAATCCAGGTACGTCGTCTGTCATTCACCCTCGGAGCCCTCTTTCTGCTCCTTCTTCTTCTACTCCTCTTCGTGGGGTGTTGAGGAGTGGTGGTGAGGTGGAGGATGTTTGTGCTGGTCAGAGGGATGATTTCGGGATTATTGATCCAAGGCTTGATGGGTCAGTGTCTGGTGTTGTAAAGAAGCCGTCTGGAACCGAAGGAAGTACTGATGGGGTGACGGTTTGTGTGGGAAGGGACCTCCATTTCAGATTGATTGACGAGTCTGCTGTGGCTTTGCTAAAAGAGCTTCGGCTTTTTGTCACATTGAAGGGCCTCAATTGCTTGCCTCATGAAGGTAAAGAGGTGACACATAATCCGGGTGATTCTGCTACAGTTACGGAGGATATGTTTGTTAATGGTAAGGAGAGGGGGGGAGGTGAACGAAGAATGGGCTTCCTTTCAGCAAGACTGTTCCAAGGTTTTAGTTCCATGGATGGAGACGGATCACTCTACTGTGGGAATGATGGAACCTTTGGCTGTAGTGCGACCTGATAGTTTAGAGACGATTGCCAATTTGGGCAAGGAATGGGTGGTAGAGAATATTGGTGCCACTAGTGAACTGCTGGGTGTCACTTGTGAGGGTAGAAACGATCAGGCGCTATCCATCCTTTAAGATATTGCGGAAAGGAGAGAGATTGAGGGAATCAACCAGGGTATGAAAGGGGCCAAAACCAAGAGAACTTTACTGTCTTGGAAAGGGGAGCAAGAGGTTAAGAATCTCATTTCATATGTTAATTATGATGGGAAGGAAGGGGTGATGAAGGAGAGGGGAAGGACTAGGAGTGGGAGGAGGGGAGATGATTTTATCTGTTATTTAATGAAACTAAGAATTATTTCCTGGAACATTCGAGGTCTCAACGATCCGGACAAAAGGAGGGTGGTGAAGGCTGGTTTGAGGAAGTGGGGAGCCCATGTTGTCTGTTTGCAAGAGACTAAAATAGTATTGATGACGGATGGGGTGGTTAGAAGTCTATGGGGTGGTAGGTTCGTTGAATGGGAGGCGTTGAATGCCTCAGGGACCTCTGGTGGTATTCTAGTCATGTGGGATCATCGATGGCTGTTTAGGATGGACACTTGGAGGGGGAGGTTTTCTATTTCTGCGTATTCAAGGCGGAGGTGGACAACTTTAGATGGTTTTTTTTTGGGGCCTATGGACTGTTTGATGATAGTGAGAGGCCTTTCCTTTGGGAGGAGCTTAGCCACGTTCAGGGATTGTGGGTTATTCTTTGGTGCCTGGATGGGGATTTTAACTTTGTTCGGTCCCCGTTAGAGAGATATACAGGGGGAAGGTGGTCTTCGGAGATGTTTTAGTTTTTGGAGTTTGTTGATGGTCACTTTCTCATTGATTTGCGTTTGGAAGGGGCAACTTTTACCTGGTTAGTGGGAGGGAGTTAGCTACTCTCTCACGGCTGGATAGGTTCTTGATTTCTGGGGAGTGGGAAGAGAAATTTCCGGATGTCGTTCATGCATCTTTAGTCAAGGTTACTTCAGATCACACTCCACTGGTTTTGGACTGTGGGGGTATGAGCTCTCGGCGTTCTCCGTTTCGATTTGAGAATATGTGGCTGCGGGCGGAGAACTTCCAAAGGTCTGTCCAGTCATGGTGGGGCCATCAGGTCTACTAGTTTTGTGTTATTTCGGAAACTGCGGGCTCTCAAAATTGAATTGAAAAGGTGGAATAAGGAGGTGTTTGGGAATCTCGAATGGAGGAAAAATAAAGCCCTTGCTGAAATTTTTGAGATTGATCGCCTTGATGAGGTGGGTGGAGAGGGGGATTCTCTGTGCTTTAGGAGAGCAGATTGCCAGGCAGATTTCGCCGAGATTGCTTCAATGGAAGAGATTTCATGGCTTTAGAAGTCTGGCCTTATGGCTCAAAGAGGGGGATCACAATACAAAATTTTTCCACAAGCTTTAAATGCCTATAGAAGGAGTAATCACATCGGGCGAATCCGGGTTGATGGTCAGGAGTTGTGCAAGGAGGAGGAGGTTCGTAGGGGGATTGTTTCATTCTATCAGAGGCTCTGCGTTGAGTTGTTGGGTTGGAGACCTAAGCTTGACTCTTAATTTTGATGTTATTTTCGAGATTGAGAGAGATGGCCTCGAGGTCCCATTTGCCGAAGAGGAGGTGTTGAAGGCTTCGTCGAGCTGTAATGACAACATAGCACTGGGGCCTGACGGGTTTGCTATGCGCTTTTTGTTGTAAAGTTGGGAGGTGGTTAGAAGGTTATGGGTACTTTTCAGGAGTTTCATTCTCACGGGGTTTTCGAGACGTCGTTAAATGCTAAATGCTTCCTTTATTGCCCTTATACCTAAGAAGGGTGGCACTATTGATATTAAGGACTTTAGGCCAGTGGGCTGTATCTATAAACTCATTGCTAAGGTTCTTGCTCTTCGATTGAGGGATGTTATGGATGGGGTTATTTCGGAGTCACAAAACGCCTTTGTTGGGGGACGGCAGATCCTTGATTCCGTTCTCATTGACGGTGAATGTGTGGATTATAGGCTGAAGAGTGGTGTCCCGGGAGTCTTATGCAAGCTCAACATTGAAAAAGCCTGCGATCACGTTAATTGGAGTTTTGTGTTGTATTTGCTTCTGAGAATGGGCTTTGGAAGTAGATGGAGGACTTGGATAGAGACATGTATCACGTCCGTCAAGTACTTTGTCCTTGTGAATGGGTCTCCTGAGGGTCTCTTTGGAAGTTCTCGGGGGTTGAGACAAGGTGATCCTTTGTCGTCCTTTCTCTTTCTCATTGTTATGGAGGGGTTGAGTAGATTGATGAAGAGGGCAGAGGATTTGGCTTTTATCAAAGGCTTCAGAGTGGGTAGAGATTCAACTCATCAGGTGGAGATATCCCACTTGTTCGCAGATGACACTTTAGTTTTTTGTGATGCTGAAGCGGCCCAATTGAGATACTTGAGGTGTATTCTTGTCTGTTTTCAAGCAGTTTCTGGGTTGAAAGTTAATGTTGGCAAGAGCGTGCTTGTCCTGGTTGGGGAAGTTCAGGGCATTTCCTAATTAGCTGAAGTTCTTGGGTGTGGGGTGAGCTCTTTCCCTATTCATTATTTGGGTTTGCCCTTGGGGGTGTCTTCTAGAAGGGTGGGGACTTGGGACTTGTGATTGCTAGGTTTGAGAAGAGATTGGCGGGGTGGAAGAAGCAATATTTGTCGAAAGGGGGGGAATGACACTCTTATTAAGAGCACTCTTTCAAACCTACCCACTTATTTCCTATCCATGTTCCAGATTCCATGTTCTGTTGCTGAAAGGATTGAAACAATTCAACGGGATTTCCTGTGGGGTGGAATGGGCGAAGAGTTCAACTTCCATCTCGTCAAGTGGGAGCATATTTGCAAGCCCGATAAGATGGGTGGCCTGGGCATTCGGAGGCTGATCCCCTTTAATAGAGCTCTCCTAGGCAAGTGGCTGTGGAGATTTGGTAGAGAACGACACCGCCCGTGGAGGTGGGTTGTCTCATGTCGGTATGGGGAAGAAAGAGGTGGGTGGTCTTCATGCCCAGTCCCTAGCACAGGAGGAGTTGGTGTGTGGAAATTTATTTTGAAAGGTTGGGATGTTTTCTCCTCTCATATTAGATTCAAAGTTCGGGATGGTAGATGTGTGCGGTTTTGGGAGGATTTATGGTGTGGAGACTAGCCGTTATCTTGCTCTTTTCCCAGACTTTTTAGTTTAGCTACTGATAGACATGCCTTTTTAGTAGATTGCTATCGACTTGATAGCAGTGGGATTATGTGGGATGTGCTTGAGGCGTTCTTTTCAGGATTAGGAGATGGATGAGGCTTGCACTCTTCTGGATATGTTGTATCGACAGGAGGTAGGTGGCATTGGTGATGATGTTCTTTTGTGGGTCCCCTCTTCCCATGGAGGATTCGAGGTCCAATCCATGTTTCCAACTTTGTTGGTTGCGCTTTCCTTTGGAAGACTGTTTGGCGCTCTAAGGCTCCCCTTAGAGTGGCATTCTTTGTTTGGATTGCCGTTTGGGTAAGATCTTGACGTTGGATAACTTGAGGAAGAAGAGAGGCATTATTATTGTTAATTGGTGCTGCCTATGCAAAAATGGTGGTGAGTCTACGGATCATCTACTCTTACATTGCCTTGTGGCATACGATTGTTGGAGTCTTATTTTCGGATTGTTCGGCATTTCTTGGGTGATGCCCTGGTCCACAAGGGGTATGATTGATGCGTGGAGGGGATGTCATGTGGGGGGTCAGGCTCGTGAGTGTTGGCGGACCGTTCCACATTGCGTATGGTGGTGCATATGGAAAGAGAGGAATAACAGATGTTTTGAGGAAGTGGAGGCGTCTACGGCAACCTTGAAACTTCATATCATCCGCTCCATTTTCAGTTGGGCGAAGGGGGGAAACTGTTCTTCTTCTGACGATGTTGTTGATCTTTTGGACTCTTTGGGTCCATAGATTCCTGTTTTGCTTTTGTACATGGGACGCGTTCCCCTTTTGAACGCTTTTTATGAATTTTTACTTATAAAAAAAAATACATAGCACAAATTTGTTTCTTGAAAGGCAAAATAGAGCACAAAAAGAAATAAATCTATTTTAAAAAAAAAACTGTTAACAAGAAAGAAAAAAAGAAGAAGAAAAAGACGGAGGCAAAAGAAGTAGATGAAGAGAGAGAAGTAGATGAGGAGAGAGGAAGTGTTAAAGAAGAAAAAGGAGAAAAAAATAGAGCCCAAAAAATAAAATAAAAAAGACAGATTGAGGAGAACTAGACGGAGAGAGAGAAGTAAACGAAGATGAGAAGAGAGGAGCAGAGGAGAGGAGAAGAAGAAGAAGAAGAAGAAAGAACTAACCTGGCTTCGTCGTTCATCTCTGCCACTAGGGCTTTGTCGTTGGTCTCACTGTCTCACTCTTTCTATGTTCGGTTAACACTTTGACTCTTGGACTTTCTTATTTGTTTATTCTGTTGAACAAAAGTTCCTTCTGTTATATGCTTAGGCTTTCTTATTTGTTTATTAAGTTGTCATAATTACCCTTTTGGCTTAAGAGATAGAATAATCATTAAAAAAAAAAAACGAGGCACGCATAGGACAAGGTGCAACCGAGGCGCGCGTCTATTAAACTTCAGTGTGCCTGGGATGACAACAGGCGCTAGACTTGCGCCTCGAGCCTAGGCGCGCCTTTAACAACACTGCTTTTAATGTCTATCCCTTTCATGGTATTTATGTTTAAGAGTTTGTGTTAAATTAAAAATGATTTGAAATTAAATGTTTGTGTTGTTTATGGAAAATTTGTTATTTAGTTCAATATGGAATTAGTATTTGTAGTTGATAGGGTGAAGAAATCGAATGAAAAAAGCATTCTGATACAACTAAATGATTTGAAACACTTTAGACATTTAATAATAGTATGTGTGTGTGCGTGCAGGAAGCTCTTTGCGATTTGCTGGATGAAGGAGGAAAGGAGAGCTTGGAGGTTGCTGTCTGCCGGGAAGCTTCAGAGAAGTCACCCAGAGCCTATTGGGCTTTTCGTAGATTAGGTTACCTTCAGGTTTCTTTTTATCTTTTTCATTCTTAAAATTTCTTAAGATTCTATCTAAGTGGGGTATACCTTTTAAATTCTTATTTTCTTGCAGCTCCATCAAAAGAAATGGTCCCAAGCAGTACAGAGTCTTCAGCATGCCATTCGAGGCTATCCTACTTCTTCTGATTTGTGGGAAGTCTGTACTTCTGTTCTCAAGTTCTTATTTATTTATTTTCTTTCTTCTTTTAGCATTTTCTCCTTGGTTCTGATCAATGTTAATTCTTCTTTGTCTTCTTCATTGTCCACTTCCATTGTAGGCTTTGGGCAGTGCCTACCAGCAACTAGGCATGTTTACAGCAGCTATTAAGGTAATTTTTTTTTCCTTTTCTTTCTATTACATGTTTGCTTTCCTTTTGTTTCCTGGGGTGTTTTCTGTAGGGCAGAATGTTAATTTATGGTAATATCTTACATTCTTAATTTCTAGGGTTGATCTGACGTACAGTTGAGTCTAGATTTTTCTCTTCCCGTTCTTTTGAAATGGATCGACCCTTGTTTTATTGAAAAGTATATTTGAAATCTGCATAATGCTTAAAGAAGATATTATGCTGCCTAGAAAGTCACCTGCATTTATGAATCAGTGGATCATTGTTATAATTATTGAAAGAGGGATTCTTCTTATTTAATTCCCTTAAAATAGAAATTTCATGATTTAAACATATCAATGCAGTGAAGTCTGAATTAATAGGATGTGGTTTCGATAGCAACATGACAATGAATAACGTTTTTACTATATGTTCTTAATATTTATTATATCATATATAACTCACTTCTACCCAATAAAGCCTTGTCAAAACTATGTGGAGTCAATTAAAAAAAATCTTGTTTGTAGTTCTACTTTGTCAAGAGCTAAGAAGTACGAACACAAACACAATGCGACATTTATTTAATGTGAACTTTTTAAAGAAAAAAAGGTTGGACACTTTGATATATTTTCTTAATGTTATTTCTAGGACTGCTATATGTTGTCAAGTGTTTGGAATGCCAAGTGTTTAAAATAATAAAAGTTATTTTTAAATTATGGACACGACCATGAAGTGTCGGACACGTGTTCAGTAGTGTCCGTTAAGTGTCGGTGTCCGACACGGACACGGACACGGACACGACACCTTATAGTGTCCTTGCTTCTTAGGTCAAGAGTTAAAACCACACAATGTGAGTAGTGCAGTGGAATAGGATGTGGAAAGTCAAGTTTTAAAAATCGTTTTTAGAGGGATTTAATCACGTGCTACTTTACCCAAATTTACTCAAGTAAATTTATCGGTTAATTAACAATCACACAGCAAAATAATAAGCAAGTAAAGTTAGAGTGACATCGGATTTTGGCGAGGAAACCAATTGGAAAACCTCGAGGTTTTTGCTCTATACCGAACGTAAAATGATCCACTATGTAAGCAAAGTATACCGAAATTTGACTCAGCTCACACCCCTTCACTATACCAAGACTCAATCCGTTGAACGCCCCTAGCTTTGCGACCTTCCGTCCAACAGCTCTCGACTTCAGACTTATGCCTCGAACCCTGTAGAAGGATTGCTGGTCGATCAACAGCACTCCGCAAGTGCCTTGACCCCTTCAAAGTGTGATCTAAACACCTTTCTTCTTCAAATCTGAATTTGTTTTGAAGGAATGAAATATGCTTTCTCTGATCGATATTGATGCAATCTTCAATAGCTCGAACTCCATCAAGAAAAAGAACAACACCTTAATTCACTCGTGTGTATGCTCTTAGAAAAATCTCACAGAATAGGCTCTCAATGAAAATCAAAATTTTGATGCAAAAAGCTGTAAAACCCTAAGTGAGAAAATATGTTTTTATAGACTTTAGAAACCCTAATTGTACTTGGAAAATAAGTCAATTTCGTGCATGACCATTAAGGTAAAAGTTTATGCAAAATAGGAAGTCAAAATAGAGTAGGAAACAAAGTTACCAAAAACTTCTGCAAACCTTGAACCAATTCAGCTCCTCTTGAACAGGTTCAAGTTGGCCATTGAAATTTTATACGAAAAACAACTTTGATACTTGAACCGGTTCAGGTGGTCTTGAACCAGTTCAAGTTTACCAGACTTGAACATAAGGTTAACACTTAGAAAATTTTCGTCAACTCTCAATTTTCGAAAACATGCAAGTGTCCTCACCTTCTAACTTACCTTCCTAGAGTGTTGTTCTCACCTTCTTGGAATATATCAAGCTATGATTCACGAACAAGCTTCAATTCTGCTTCCGATCTAAAATCTTGAAATCAAACTGAAAAGATTACAACTCGATTGGACTTATTTTGACAATGAAATTCGCCAATTACAAAATTTATATCTCACACACAATACCATGTCGGTGCTTATTGCTACAAGTTACGTTAATTTCGTTTAGCTCCTAGGATCATCATCAATGTTGATCATGCCACTCTTTCTAAGTGGTGTAGTTACTAGTTCTTGTTACACGTGACCAAAGGATCTTAGTTAACTTTTTCCATTTTATCTTTGGTGGGTGCTACACCCATCATCGTCTGTATGAGTTCATTTTTTATTTATCCTTTCTTTAATCCTTTCTTGTCTTATTATTGCACATCTAGGAAGCACGGACACTCCAAAATGGGCGAAGAATCCGTGTCCGACACGTGTTGGATACGGCACGCGTCAGACACGCTCCGACACATGCCGGACTCGCCAAAAAACGTGTCTGGAATTTTATTTTTTTTTTTTTTGAATTTTCGGACACGGCACGGACACTTTTGGATTTTTTTTTTTTTGAATGCTGATATGTTTTTTTTTTTGTTTTGTTTTGTTTTGTACTATCCTTTTGGTATTGTAAATGGTAAAAGTCCTAGGTCAAATGATGGATGGGAATAGATGATAGTACACTGACTTGTTTTTGTATCTTTTTTGGGGACTAGCCTTTAGGTTTTTGTGAATGTTAAGTGCTAACAGTAAAGTCCTGAATATTAAACAGTCATGAATGTTAATAGTCCTTTCTATTTATGCTTTTGTATTTGGAGTAAAGTTGCAATGATGATTAAATGATACTAGTTATTATTCTAATGTCTTGTTTGTTATTTGGTTTTATAACTCTGCAACATTGTTCTTTTATAGTTTATTAGTTATGAGTTATGATTTGTGTTTTTTTTTCATTGTGAGGTTGATGAAAAATAGTAACACTCAGTAATTTTTAAAGTACTACATCATATATATACACACACACACACACACCATTCGCCGTGTCCGTGTCCTAATTTTTTTGGATTTGCCGTGTCACCGTGTCGGTGTCGTGTCGTATCCGTATCCCGTATCCGTGTCCGTGCTTCTTAGTTGCACATGCATCTTAAATCTACATTATTATCATGCTTACTTTGTGAGCAGTTTATTTCAAAGCACTTGGTATTTTCTCCCATAGAGTATAGACTATCTTTTCTTTTACGAAATTTTTTCCTTCAATTTTTATAGGTATTCCCTGATCACATAGCATATCAAAAGCACTCATCTTCTTAATCCACCCAGGTTTAATCACGAGTAGCACTATGTCTAGTCTCTCTAGTAGTTTTTAAAGGCTCAAGGCTCACTAAGGTGCCACAGAGTCTTTTGGAGCCTAAGCACAAGACGCAGTACAAGGCGCCATTCTAACCGAAGTAAGGCACTTGTGTAATAATAATGCATATTAATTATAAATATGCAACACAAACTTGCCAATATCAAAATAAGAATTTTTTTTCAGCATACCAATTCAATGGATTAGCTAAATCAACATACACATATCTTTTCTATTTGCATATGAATTCAATAAATGTACAATTGGAACAATTCAAAATATGTGACATAAATAATATAAGATTCTCTAAAAATTGTATTTTTGATATTTGCTGAAAAAATCCTTTCATATGCATATACATTAACAACATTAAATGTGATTACAAAATCTGAAACAATAAAAAACTATAATCATGCAAATTTTAAACATATGGTATCATATATATATTCAGAATCAAGCTATGATATTGAACATTTTAATTTAGTAGTCATTAAATAAAAAAAGAAAATGATCAGTAAATAAGTAAGAAATGGAAGGAGTGCCTTTTTTGAGCCTAGAGCCTACTAAAGAGCGCGACCCTGAGGGTTTTATGTGAGCCTGGTTGAAGGGGCCTGACCTGTATTAGGTTGAGGCGCTCTAGCTGAGCCTCAATGAGGCTGGGGCTTTTTTGGAGCCTAGGCGCACCTTTAACAACTATGACTCTCCTTCCTTGTGAATAACAGAATATAGGTGATGAAACTTCTTACTCTTCGACAATTGTTAACTATCAATCTTCTTACATTCCCTTTTGTATAATTAGTTTCTTGAAGAGAATTTCATTTTCGGTCTATCTTTTACTTATCTTTTATCCTTTTGATTCTATAGTGTCTCTCCAAATGTCCAATTCTCTAAGCTCTTATTTAAACTAAAAATAAAATAAAAAATGACATAGAAAGAGTGTACCTATTGTAACCTCATTTTGGATATTTACTCGACGACATGCAACGGATAATCACCCAGTTGGTCAGGTTCTTTAAAATTTCCATCTTTCTTTCTTCTGAGCTTTTTATTTTATGGTGACTTATTCCCTGAATTGGAATATTCTAACTTTGATTCCCTTTTGAATGCTTTTTATGAATTGTCTTACTTATCAAAAAAAAAAAAAAAAAAAATTCTAACTTTGATTGTATGAATATCACACTGCCAGTAGAATAAAAACTTGTTGGCCTTTATGTTGTACTTTGTTGGCACTATAGTGGACCTGTGTCTGAAGTTCTATTATTATCAATATCATAAGTTTTGGACAAGCTTAAATTGTATCTGATCATTAAATGGATAACATTTTTTGGTATTTCAACAGTCATATGGGCGAGCGATTGAATTGGAGGAGTCGAGAGTCTTTGCTTTGGTTGAAAGTGGAAACATATTTTTGATGCTTGGTTCCTTTAGAAAGGTAATACTTGTTGGTATACTTGTTTGTCCTGTGTTAGTTTTACTTGCATATTCCTTTCGCTTATAAGATTTTTGCAGTTTTGATTAGCTATAAGTCTATAATCAGTTACATTTTACATCAAAATTCAATGCTTCATCTTCAACTCTCTTTAAATAGGATTGGAAAGCATTATTTTTTTTTTTTCAATAATCTTTTTTATTCAATGCTCTTGGTTTTAATGATAGACTCAATCACTCAATCCTTTTTCCCTTTTTGGTTTTGAATAATATGTTTTAGCTCTAATCAGAAAATAATTTATGCAAGAAAAATTCACGCAAGAGCTTTTTTTTGGGTGGTAATGGTGGGGATTGTTGGAGGGACCTTTTTTTTGTTTTTCTAGAAACTCTCTTCCACCTTTTTTTGGTGCTTGCTTTTTTCTCCTGTATATATTTTTTCGTTTTCTTGTAAAAGAAAAAAAAATAAAAAGGTTCAAGCATCAAGTTGAATCACTAAGAAGCATCCCGAAACTTATAGATGGCACATGCTAGACTCATCACTATATATACATATATGTATATCACTCCAGTTCATAATTCCCATGCTGTTCCAGTGTTTGTCTTATACTGTTGCACAAATAATTAATAGAACTGTCACTATTTATTTTTATACATAAAGGGAGTTGAGCAGTTTCAGCAAGCTTTACAGATCTCACCTCAAAATGTTTCTGCACATTATGGGCTTGCTTCAGGGCTGCTTTGTCTTTCAAAGGAATGTGTAAATTCAGGTGCATTTAGATGGGGAGCTTCATTGTTAGAGGTTAGTTATTTTGTAAATGTAGAAAACATACCTGCCTCTCAAGCTTCCACATTTCCCAGGGACAAAATTGTTAAAGTTCCTTTGTAATTGTAGGAGGCATGCAAAGTTGCAAAAGCATGTGCCTGCTTGGCTGGAAATATATCATGTATTTGGAAGTTGCATGGTGATATTCAGGTATATAATCTGAAGGGTTATCTTCTTATTGTTCTATGTATTTCATTTTATTGTTGCTTGCATTTGTTTATTTATTTCATTCATTTGTCATTACCTGGAATTTTGTGCTTTTCCATGTGAGGCTATATTTTGTGTTCAACATAAGATGCTTATGACTTGAATGGTCTAATTTACTGTTTGTTTCACTCTATGTTAGCTTACATATGCAAAATGTTATCCGTGGATGGAGGAAGGCTGTGGTTTAGAAACTGATCAGGAAGCTTTCAATATTTCCATTCTTTCCTGGAAAAGGACCTGTTATTTAGCTGCAGTATCTGCCAGTCGCTCGTATCAACGGGCCTTGCACTTGGCCCCATTGCAAGCTAATATCTATACCGATATTGCAGTCACTTCAGATCTCATTTGCTCTTTGAGGGAAAATGGTAAAGAGGACATAAATTCATGGTAAGATCTTAGTTATTCTTTCCCCGTTAAATAAATCATCACATATGGAACATTTGCTATCTCAATTGACCATCTTAATCTTATCCACCAGGCAGTTACCTGAGAAGATGTCCTTGGGGGGCTTGTTACTTGAGGGTGGTAATAATGAGTTCTGGGTAACATTGGGATGCTTATCTAGGCATAGTGCATTGCAACAACATGCTTTTATACGTGGGCTGCAACTGGATATATCTCTAGCTGTTGCGTGGGCATATCTCGGAAAGGTTGGGCACCACATCAATCTCAGGAAAATTTTCTCTTATTGATGTGAACATTTTGTTTTGTAACGAGAAAGGGAATCCCACTTGGTTACTTCTGAGTTATATTCTAGAACTGTCAGAAAATAAGAAAAACACTATTTATTGAAGATATACAATGTCTTGCTAAATTAAAAAATAAGAAGAAATGCATTTTTTTTTTTTTTTGGGTCAAAAGTATATTCTCACTTCATTAATTTGCTTGTCAATAGATTGGGGCTGAGTTTAGGTAAAGGCTGGCCAGAACTTGTCTTGTTCTGTAGGAAATCTAAATACGGGTGATCCAGTCTTGCGTTAAACAATACTCATGCTCGGGTTTGAAGCAAATGGGGATGACAAGAAGGCGGGTATGTGATAAGGCCCCTTTATCCCCTTTATCGTGGCTGAAACCGACTGGCAAACCCTCACTTTGACCCCATCAAGTATTTATCTTTTTGGTGCTTTCTGTCTCATCCCCAATTGCTACCTCAATTTGCACGTGTCTCACTCCATTTTTTCCTAAGATGAATCTCAACCCACTAATGGTAGATGCACCAAAGTACCAAATTATGGTAAGGCAGCTTTCCTGTGACTAAGATGTGTATGTGTTGGTATATATTCCATGAGCAAAAGTTGTGTCATGGTTTATATGTGGTGTCACTATAGTGGAAGGTTTGTATGGACAATTGGACATTGAAGTTATGATTGTAGATTGAAGATTGAAGACTGAACCAAAGGATTGTATCGAGATCTTGCTTCAATGTTCATCAATCACACAATATAGAGAAGGCAAGTGAGGCAAGTAACCTAAGAGGCCCATATGATTCAGAGTGAATAAATTAGGAAACTTGGAATTAATTTGGGTTAAATTTAAAACTAATTTTAATTAGTTCTAATATTATAAATTAAAAGTCAAATATTGTTTCATTAGGAATTGTTGAAGGATTTATATATTTAAGTTGCACCTCTTTATATATTTGGAAACAAAGACCTTCCAACTATATATTACATGCCTAATTCCAATCCGTTTAACCCCCCAATGAAGTGTCTGAAGTCGGACTATTTGTAGTCAGGTTCAGTAGAAAAGAAAGAGTTCGATGTGCCTAATACCAAATCTGTGTAACTCCTCAATGAAGTGTCTGAAGTCAGAATATTTGTAGTAAGGTTCAGTAGTAAAGAACGAATGATCGAACCTGAATCTTAATCCATCGATGCTACACAACAATATCTAGATCGATTGAGGAAAATCTAGAAGGTGTTGACCAATTTATCAATCAATTGAACGGACGCCCAAAGTCGATAAAAGACGTGTTTGCAAGTCTGATAAGGTTTCTAAACTTTCCAAAACTCATCCAAAACGTTCCTAATCTATTTTTATCACTCTAACAATATAAAAAAGAGGTTTCTTAGGGTTCTTTAAACATCTGAAAAATATAAGAGACACAACTACACAATTGTGAGGGAGACTGAGAGCTTTATTTTTATCATAAGTGAGTCATCATAGAATACCTTGTTATATTGTGTGATTGCTTTGTAAGGCAAGGAGCTTCATCGAATACTTAAAGATTGGTAACACCTACACATCAAAGGATTGAACAACTAGTCATTAGAGATCAAATCATGGATTGGAGAAGTGGATCACATGAGCCGATGTGTTAAGCTAAATAGCATAGACACGGACATGGGATATGGGCACGATACGACAAGGATATGTCAACACATTAAATCGTAGAAAAGTATGAGAGGGATACGATGTGGACACAACTATATATAAATTAATTTTTTTTTTTTTATTTTTATTTTTTATTTTTAATATAGATCTATTTAGTATGACTATTATAGAATTTTAGTTAATTTTTAATTTCTATACTAAGAGTACTCACATAATCTAGAAGATGAAGTTGTGCGATTATTGTAATGATTTTTATATCATATGTGCTACTATTCCACTGCTTTGTCATTACGATTGTGTTTTTGTTCCATGTGGAAAAATTATCATTCTAGGCTTCACATGTGAATTGTGAGTCTTTTGACCATGTGTATAGTGCCAATTTTTCTTGAAGAAAATAGTTGACACTTTGAAGTGTGTTCATATTATTTTCAAGATCCTAGAACATGGCTATTCTGTATGTATTTGTGTTATATAAGCCTTGTGGTACTTATAAAAAATATATTTATATATAGACTTGTGTTAGGAATGTCCAGGAAGTGTTGGCCATTTGTCTAGGAAGTGTTGGCCAAGTGTCCAAAATAATTAAATTTGTTTTTAAAGTATGAACACGAATGTCCAGGAAGTGTTGGCCATTTGTCTAGGAAGTGTCGGCTAAGTGTCCAAAATAATTAAATTTATTTTTAAAGTATGAACACGCTACATGAAGTGTCCGACACTGTCTAGGAGCGTCTATGAAGTGTTGGTGTTTGACACGGATATGACTTATTGGTACAAGTGTCCATGCCTCCTAAGTGTTAAGAGATAACTAGGATTTCTGGTGTTTGGGAACTGTTAACTTTGTGTAAATCTCTTTCTCATAGTGGATTTGATTTTCTTGGTTTAGGTCCCTTTCTTTTTTGCGTTGGAGTTTCAACATAAAATTCAGTGTTTATGCATGTGGAATTTTTTTACTTTATATTTTTGCCCTTTACCTGTTATTACATGCTTGTTGATTGATAAATTAAACTTCCAGTTGATTGTTAAAACTGAAATTGAGTAAAAATTATCGAAGCTCGCAAAAGACCTATTCATGCCCCTTCTAGGTCTAAATAAAGTGTAGCATATTCTGATGTCCTAGAGCATCAGGTCTTGGTCCTTGGATTTCGCAATTGGTATCAGAGCATATTCCATTGTACATATTACAGTTCCCGTTTCTACCTATGCACAAATATACCCAGTTTTTGTCGTTTTTTCCACACTTTGATAATCAAATAAGGATTCAAAGCCAGAGGAAGAGAGAGAGAGAGAGAGAGAGAGAGAGAGAGAGAGGTGACGGCTATATTTGATGCAGGGATGAGACATGGAGGCAATAGGCAGCGAGTCAGTGACAGTGATTTGGAGGTGGAAGATGCGGACAATATGCTTTGCATAAGAACCTTAGATTATATTAATACACTGAAGGATGAGTTTTATAATTTTTTTCAAGGGAGGGTATTTAAAAAAAAACTGGTATACAATTGCGGTGGTTCAGCGTAGTCTTTGTCAACCTAATGCTACTTTGAACCAGTGTTGGGTCTGACTTCCTTTTCATGAACCTGGCCCTACTTGAATAACACCTTCCATGACCACTCCAATGGGGATAGGGCAGGGCAGGTTACATGGATGAATCATGAGCAGGTTTCATGAACCAAAAATCCAATAGCCATCCCTTAGAGGCAAATGCAGGTATACACAACCAAAAATCCAATGACATCTGCTCATGATGTGGGACTTTCATGTGTCATATCACACATACTGTAATGTACAATATATGCCAAGAATGATAAGTTTCACAAACTTGGAGATTTTGAGTTGGTACTTAAAAGATGTAGCTACACATCACATACTGCAGTAATAGAACACAGTTGGATTTGCCCAACCATTTGTATATATTCATTTCTTGAAGTCGAACATTATTAGGAACTTAAATATTTTGAGATATATGGAGCTTTAGCTAAACTTCAGCAATAAATGCAATGTATCAGAAAGGATCTCTTGCTCACCGGTGTGCAAGAAATTCATCCACACTATGCATGGATGATGGTTGGATGTGATTGCTAAATTTTTTTGGTAACTACCTTTTTAACATCCAATGGTTACTATGTATGGTGCGAATGAATTTCTTGTCAAGTACTTCATACATGGTTCACTTCTCCAAATTTCCTTTATCATCTTAATCTTTAAATTGTTCACAAATTTAATGTTATTATATTAAAAAGGGTGCTGAGAGAACCATGAGAATCAATTTTGTTTGACACAATTTTCTTGCTATTATGATACCTACTTTTAAGTGATCTTGTCCATGCAATTAGTTTTAGTGGCCCTAAAATTGTACCACTACATCTTATTTATATCACAATGTGAGGCCAAAAGATTGGTACCTCATGGAAACATATATAGAGTGGGGAATACATAACCCGAGGTCTTGGCCTTTGGTCATCGTTTTGTTTGTTTTCTTCTTCATTCCTTTTCTTTTTTCCCCCAAAGGTTCAACAACTCCATATGTTCCATTATCTTTAGGTATCTTCAATATTCACCCAAAGTTCATCCACCACAATTTGCTGAACTTGGATTGCAGGGTATATATATATATATATATATATATGTTTGAGTACTTAACCTATCTACCCTTAACATTTGTTGTTTGACTGAGCATGTCATTGGTGTTACTTGTTTATTTTAATGCCAATTGAACATAATTTCAACAGTTATAGTTTAATGCCAATATATTGCCGTCAGGGCAATACATTTTCTTCTGCAGTTCAATTATAGTTTTCATACTGTCCCAAAATCTTTGAAGTTTGGGAAATTGTGTTACAAACCTTCAAAAGTTGTATAAATCTTTATCTTCTGCAGCTTTATAGAGAAGAGGGTAAGAAACAATTGGCACAGCAAGCATTCGATCGTGCTCGAAGTATAGATCCTTCTTTTGCATTACCATGGGCAGGAATGTCAGCTGATACTAATGCTAGGTAAATTGTTATCTTCATGGGTAGTTATATAAGCGATTTCTTTTGGCATTGTCACATGAAACTACATCTGGATTTTTTCTTTTTTTCTTTTTCCCACTCAGGGAGCTCACCCCAGATGAAGCATATGAGAGTTGTTTACGGGCTGTGCAGATACTGCCTGTAAGTCCTCTCTCTCTCTCTCTCCCTCTCCCTCCCTCCTGTAAAATTTGAAGTACTGTTCGTTTACTAAATTTGTGCTTGTGGCCTTAAACCATGTTTCTTTATTCTTGAAATCTTGCACAATTGTACTTACTGTTCCAATTTTTGGCTAGCTTGCAGAATTCCAAATTGGTCTTGCAAAACTAGCCTTCCTTTCAGGTCACCTTTCATCTTCACAGGTATGGTTCTGAATTATAGATTAAAAATGAAAGAAGTTGATAAGGGGTATGCTTGAGTAAGTCTGCAGATAATTGTTGTCACAGGTATTTGTAGCCATCCGGCAGGCTGTGCAGCGTGCACCCCATTATCCTGAATCCCACAATATGAATGGGCTGGTTTATGAGTCACGGTTTGATTATCAGTCTGCTGCTGTCTGTTATAGGCTAGCACGATGCGCTATCAGAGCTTTGGCGGGCAATGCTCCAAAATCCCATCTCAGAGATATATCGATTAATTTAGCCAGATCGCTTTGTAGGGTAAACATAAATGAGATTGTTATCCTTGGTTGATGTTTAGGATGCATATTAGTAAACCTCTGTTCATCTGTTTGCTGCAGGCAAGGAATGCTCTTGATGCTGTGCAAGAGTGTGAAGATTTAAAGAAAGAAGGTCTGAATTATGTTCATAGTAGTTTACATACTTCATTGCACCTTCGTTTTGCAGTTTCACTTATTGCTGAGTGCCAATCCCTATTATCAAGGAAAAAGAGTGAAATAATTGTTAGTAATTAGAGTCACTGTGTTGGCAATTTATGTGATTGTATACTTATCATAAAAAAAAAAAAATTTGTGATCAAAATGTGTATTTTAATTGGTCGCATTGAGTTTGGTATGGTTGTCTATGAATCATGTTGATTTGCCTACCGGTTTTCTTGAGAGAAATGTAATTGAATGCATTGATTAAAGACTACATGAAGATGGCATGGTGATTAGGAACAATGGTCGTGATAAACTTGAATAACACTCATAAGGACAAGACAAGTTTGAGTGAATGACTTTAGGATTACAGTGGGCATGAAAAACTTGATTAGCCTTAATAGAACCTTAACGGACTTAACTTTTTAAAAGTCTTAAAAGTGTTTACAAATGTAAGCAATTTTTTATTTGGATTAGAACAAGTCTGGTTCGGTTTAGAGTTGATACCCACATTGGGTGTTGAATGCAATCCAAATTTTACCAATCTGCCTTCTGGAGTTACAAAATCTTTAGTACTTAGAATCTCATGATGATCTTAATTCTGGAAAGTCAGTTCTCGGGCAAACCAGAGATGAAGACACTGGTACACTTTTAAGGGCACCAATATATCCTGTTAAACTGCACAATATTGGGTTCACTGACACACCTTTGCCTTGAGTGAAAAGTTTTGAACACTCAGTTTATTTTCAATTTATCAAAAACTTGTCCAAAGTCTCCAAACTTTTCAACTGCACAAGATTGAGTTCCAGAAACATGTGCATTGGTACACTTTCACAACTGCACTGACAGACCTTTGTCCCGAGTGAAAAGTTATTTAACTCAGTTTATTTTCAATTTATCAAAAACATGTACAAAGTCTCCAAACTTTTCAACTTGATTTCTAATCATTCTAGGACTTTGAAAAGGATCTTTAAACCTTATAAAAGGCTATTTAGGGTTTCTATGAAAACCTGTCTAGGGTTGGTGAGCAATCTCTCTGAAGAAAGATACATTGAGGGAGTTGATAGCAGTGGCAGATTAGCAGCGACTAAACTTGAAAGAGCAGGTGTAAGTCGGGCACACAACTGCTGGGCTCAAAGGCACTGAGTTGTAACTGTTAGCGCATTTGAGGTACTTGCAGCAGTTGTGTTTGGTCAAGTGATCAGGTGTAAGTCTTTGTCAGATCAATACGCTTGTACTTCTTTTGAATTTGTATAGGATTGGCTTACTTGAGACATAGGTCTCCATGGTATCTCCTGATTTATGGTTTTTGAAGTAAAATTCCGGTTGTCTCTTTTCTCTTACCTTTGTTTTATTTCTTTATTGCTTGCCTGTGGATGATTGATTGTTAAACTTGACTAATCATCAGTCCGGTAATTATATACTCCAAAATCAATCAAAAAGCCAAGTAGACCTATTTACTTACTTCTGCCTACATAACAACATACAGTCCAACCCTTAAAGCTTCTGCAAGTGTGACAGTCGATTGTGTTGTTAGCTCGTACCTTTTCTGCCATTATATCATTTCAACTCATATGAATAATGAGAAGGAAGCTATGTGGTCATCATAAAAATTTAGCACTTTGTAATTGTACCAGTTAGAATATTTTCCTTGTTATAATTGTCTAAACTAATTAAATAAAAGCATTAGAAAGACTTATAGGTTAGATTTTCAGATCCAATTTTATTATATGTTGCTTGTAATTTTTTATTTATCTTTTTACCTTGGCAAGAAACTCACACAATCACTTTTGCCCTGTGTGTACTTGAACTCTCGACCTTCTACTTTGGAAGGTGACAAAGTACCACTAGTTATTGTAATTTTTGAACAATGGTTGCCTACTCACCGGTGAGTAGGAATCTCCTCCTCACCACCAATGTGGCACAATGATAGAATTGCACATGTTTATTTTGAATTTAAATAATTATTATCAACGGGCCAGTAGTGGTCTAATGGTATCAGTCTCTTACCTCCTAAAGGGAGGTCAGGGGTTTAAGTCTCAGAAGAGACAAGTGTGTGTGAGTAACAATTAGGAAAAAAAAAAAAAAAAAAAAAAAATCATATAGACTCTTTTAACTTATCAAAAAATAAAATAAAAAAAATAATTAGGATGAGAAAAATATAATTTTTTTTAATTAATTTTTTTTTTTAATACATATTTTAAATTCAAAATGGACACTTGTCATTCTATCATTGTGCCACATCAGTGGTGAGAAAGAGGTTCCTAGTCACCGGTAAGCAGGCAAGTATTGTTTTTTTTTTTTTTTTCATTTTCAATCTCATCTTATCCTTCATTTTGTTTCATAGGTCCACTCGATTCAGAAGGTTTGCAGATATACGCTTTATCTTTATGGCAACTCGGCAAGAATGACCTGTCTCTCTCTGTGGCAAGAAGTTTAGCTGCAAGTGTTTTGTCAATGGAACAGACATCTTGGGCTGGCCTAATAAGTTTTATCTGCAGATTGCTGTATTATATTTCTGGACAGGAATTGGCAATTATTAGCATTCTTAAAATGCCAAAAGCCCTATTTCAGAGTTCAAAAGTTAGTTTTGTAGTCTCTGCTATTCATGCTTTAGATCAAAGTAATCAACTTGAGTCAGTTGTTTCAAGCAGTCGTGGTGTTCTTGCATCTCATGAAGATATCACTGGGATGTACTTCTTGATAGCACTTGTTAAATTAGTAAGTTTCTTATTCCAGTTGTGGCATTTGAGCATCTTACACATGGCTGAGGTTGGTTTTATTTTATGGCATACCAAATATGAAGTGGACAATGATCTGTTATTATTATTATTATTATTATTTTCCGGTTTTGCAGGTCAAACATGGATATAAAGACTGCCTTGGGATTCAAAATGGAGTGAATCATCTTAGAAAAGCTCTTCACATGTTCCCTAACAGTGGTTTGATAAGGTAGATGTAATTTGTAAAGAGAATAGGTTACATTGATGTCCCATTTATTTGTACGGGGAACTTGTTCAGCCCCATACGGTCATACCACCTATATGCTTTTGATAGAAGCATTCATACTCGGACTGGGTATTTTATGGGACAAAGGGGTTGTTTACCTGCTAGGACAGCTACTGACTATTCTGATTTGCCTTTGACATATCTTGATTATGACCGAAAACCTATTTTAACGGGGAGCTGAATTTAAGGTCTCAAGCAAATGATAGAAATGGAAAACTAAGTATAACTGCTAGTATGGATATGGACGGAGTCTTGCTAGGAGAAGAGCCTTTACTTTTTTCTGTTATAGTAGTAAAGTGCTAGTGGCTAGCCTTTTTCTGTAATCTGCTAGTTCAATTGTAGTGTGCTAGTTGCAGTCTTTCTAAACTGAGAATGAGAAACTTGATGTTGATAAAGAGGATGCTTGTTACTGTTATTTTAGTAAGTAGCTCGTTTTAGCTGAAAGGTTGCTTTAGGCACATAGTGTTTTGGTTTGATTTCTTGTTAGGGCTTCAGGCAATCTAAAATAAAATCTCTCTGAATGTGGAATTGGGGTTTTTCCTTTGCGTATCTTGTTATCGGCTTGGCCTTATCCTGATCAAAGGTGGCATTTTAGCAAGCACATGCATATAGGAAGGCCACTCACTAGATAAGCTAAAGGACTACAACTACAAGCCAATTCAGAATCAACCCATTCTTTTCTCATTGGTTTTAGATATATACATGGGTTATCTATAGATCATAGTAGTTTGTCAACCTTTTCTCTCTGACCCGGTGTATCCCTATATTGTTCTATTCTCATTGTTTGCTGCTTTAGTCCATCACAAGATATGGAAGAGTTAGCAAATTTTCAACAGTGAACGATTCATTCATGGATCACAAAGCAACTTAAGGACTGACACTAGCACAGATGTCTTCTAGTTCAACATTTCCTGATTTAATATAGGAGCTAATGACAGTGACAAGTAGTACTGGCTCTACTTAATTTATGTTGCCTTAACCCTTAACCCAGTCAATATTACAGTGCATGCGTTTAAGCTTCCTAAAAATACATGTCAAAAATAATATGTGAAGATAGAATAAGAATTAAATATAATTAAAACCACATTAGAAATTGAAAAATAAAGTTAATTCTAACATCGTTACATGACATACAAATTTATTAGAGCTTTTTTTTTATTTTTTTTTTCCTTCCTCTTGCAAAAATTCTATAAGCTGAACATGCAGATATGAATTTTCTTTTTCTTTTTTCTTTTTGTGAGAATTTGTTTATTTTTTGTTGTTGGGGGGATGGGAAGTGAAATAGAAAGCTACTGCAGAATTTAATAACTTACTTTGGAAACTAATTTTTTTTATTAAAAAAAAAGTAATAATAATAACATTTACTTCATGCCAACCTAGTTACTTTGAACATGCCACGTCTTGATTTTTAGTGCAATTCAGCTCTGCCTTATAATTCAGTTTTTTATTTTTTATTTTTATTTTTTCATTTTAAATTATTAAATCTGTGATACTTTCTTCCCTTCTTCCTGGCCTTTTAGGGTCCTTCAGTTCGAACAATTGCTTCTTCCTGTTATAGTATAAGCCTTTGTTGCACATTGCTTAACTAACTCAAAGAAGAGTGTTTTCCCCCAAATAGGGTCCTTCAGTTCGAACAATTGCTTCTTCCTGTTATAGTATAAGCCTTTGTTTCACATTGCTTAACTCAACTCAAAGAAGAGTGTTTCCCCCAAACTTTGGGATTTGCTATTTTCATACTGTTCCTCCTCTCTTTTCTATCTAGGGTTTATTTTTATTAAACCACTTGCCAATGTCTTCTCTTACAACCTCACATAATGTCTTTTTTGTTCAACCCTAATCCTTGGAATGTCCTCATTGTGGACCGTCAATCTTTCTCACTTGTATATAACCCAACTTTCTTGGTCAGATTTCTCTCTTGTTACTTGTTGCGATGACATCCTCATTAAAGCTGTGTTCATTGTATGATTTTTTATTTCTATATTATTTTGGCTGAATTTGTGGGTACTTTGTTTCCTATATTTATGTTGTTGACACACAAATTCTGTAAACCTTATTAATATTGTTTTATATTATTATATTGTCATTTTTTAGTTCTCTGACAAATTTGCTGAACTGCTGTTAACAGGAATCTACTTGGTTATCTCTTACTATCCACTAAAGAATGGGAAGACGCTCATATTGCAACCAGGTGCTTCATTGCAAGCCCTTCTGACTGTCCAAAGGAAGAGGGTCTAAAATCAGCATGTGAGATCCTTGGTGCTGGAGCAATTGCCTGCTATAGCACAGGAAACTGGAACAAGAAGTTCTGTGTCCCGACCTGTAGATACCAGTGCCTGAATGGACTGGGAGCAATGGGACAACTGCAAAAGTACATATCTTTAATCCCCTTTGCCTTTAGACTCATTTTCTTCCCTTTCCTGCACAGTGTCATATTGTTTAATGATTTTTTATTTAGAAAAAGTTGTGTTTTAGCTTGTCCTCGAGCAATAAGTCCTTTTGGTTTTAATAAAGTGGCGTGGGTGCTGAAATTTTGATGGATTAGGTCATTCAGTTTGCTAGTTTCCGTAGCTTCTTTTTCACTTCCATAAGTTGTTTTGTTTTTTAGTTCCATGTTTTTAGTTCAAGATTTTTTTAAGTGACTCCGGTGTTGATGAACATGGTCAGTTGCTCTTTTATAACCTGTTTAACTTCATTTCTTAAGTTTGGATGGCTTATTCTTAATTACAGGTGGTTGCATCAAGAACCATGGAACCATAATGTACGATACTTGCTGATACTTAATTATTTACAGAAGGCGCGTGAAGAAAGATTTCCACGACATCTTTGTATAATGCTTGAGCGACTGATTAGTGTTTCTCTTTCCACTCAATCGTATTCAAAGAATGAAATGCCTTGTCAATATCAAAAGTTCCAGCTTCTACTTTGTGCTTCTGAGCTTAGTTTGCAAGATGGAGATCACATTGGCTGTATCCAGAAAGCAGAAATTGCTTCAGGGCTTTTGGTTCCTGATGATCGTCTCTTTTTTGCACACTTGCTACTGTGCCGTGCCTATGCTGCAGAAGATAAAATTGTTAACCTACACACACAGTATAGTAGATGCTTGGAGCTTAAAACAGATTGTCATATTGGATGGATATCTCTTAAATTTATTGAATCTCGATATAACCTGCAGACTGATTCAAATTTATTAGAGCTGGGGTTCAAGGAATGCTCAAAAGAGATCAAGAATTCAAAAGAGATCAAGAATTCACAGAATATGTGGATGGCTATATTTAATTTGGTGCAGGGTCTGGTTGCTATATGGACCCAGGATTTTCTTTCTGCGGAAAAATTTCTTGCGCAAGCTTGTTCATTGGCCGGTGCTGAGAGCTGTCTCCTTCTTTGTCACGGTATATATATACTAAATGATTGTAACTTTGTATTTTTCATCACATTCATGTGATTTAATGTCGATTGCTTCCAATATTCCCACTCTGTTGGTTTTCTTAAAGAATGAGAGAGAAAAAAAAACTTCAAAGAACGACGTTATTGTTCTAATAAACCTTTTTTTTTTTTTTTTTTCCTCGCTTTCTAGGGGGAAGGGGGAAAGAAGTAAAATGCTTTGATACATCAGTTAGGTGCATAATTAGTAGTTTGACTTCTATGTCATTGTATAAAAATTAGCTTAACTGGAAAAAATTTCAAAATCATTTTCATCAAACCAGGGTGGTAGGGTATGTTCTCCAATTTCTCTCTCCGTAATGAAATTTTTTGTGCGTTTTCTCAATCTTTTGTGATATCTAGAGTAGTTTCTGTGGCCATAGTTAATTGGTTTTTTCTAGAAGTAGTTCATAGCACATCTATCTTAAACTAAAATGTTGGAATGTTTTAATTGGGTTAAAAGCGAGCTAAACAAATACCTCGTTGTTTTACTCTCTCATCATGATAATTGAAATTATTATTATTTTTTATGGATACAGGTGCCATCTGTATGGAAATTGCTAGACAGCAGTGTGATTCGCAGTTCTTGTCACTTGCTATTAGAAGTCTCAAGAAAGCTAAAGAAACTTCTGTCATTACCTTACCTATTGTCTCACTGTTGCTGGCGCAAGCAGAAGGTAGCCTTGGCTCTAGAGCAAAATGGGAGAAAAATATTCATCTTGAATGGTTTTCTTGGCCACCAGGTTTGGATTTTTTTTTTTCCATATATATGTACATATACGATAGATGTTTAACGTGATTCACTTCTCCATCATTCAATGAGCTATAATTAGGCCCTGCAGATGAACTAGTAATACATTATTCCTTGGTTGATATACCTTAGAGTAGAAAAGGGTCATGATGAACCATTAACATTTTACTCTAGCCACCATTAACATTATAATTACCTCTGTTTATTATGTAAGAAGTGGGTTGCTGTATTGGTTTCTATTTTCTTCCCCATCTTGTTTTACTAATCCTCCACTGTTTAAAAACCAAGATGATGGTTGAGCCTTGTGGTCAGGGAGTAACCCTGTACCTGCATGGGTTGATGGCCACATGGTCAATAGGTTTATGCATAACATGTTCCCCAATGTAATTTATCTGACATCAGGGACTGTGATTTTGATGTCAAGTTATAATAAGAGGACATGGACCTTTGGTAGTATGCTCTATTAAACTTTGAACACACACTGGCTAATGGGCACCGCACTGCTTGCTGCCTAACCTTCCTATCTGTGTGAATATGTGGTTCTAAAGTTGTTATCTCGGATGGATAAAACTGTAACTTTCTATCCTATATTGTGAGTATTTTTCTAACTTGCACCATGTTTCTCACAGAGATGATGCCCGCGGAAATTCTTTTTCAGATGCATTTGCTTTCAAGACAATCGAAAGATATTTCTGACTCTATGTCTGTTGTGGAGTCTCAGAAATGGGTTTTACGGGCAATCCATTCGAATCCTTCTTGTTTAAGATATTGGAAAGCTCTGCAGAAGTACACAACTGTAGAAGAAGAGAGAGCATAAAAACCATAATTGAGGGCTTCTACTCATGTCTATATAAATTATCTCATGTTGTAGTTCGCAATTGTGTTGTAAATTATCTTGTTTGAAGTGTACATTACTAGCTGATTTTTTTTTTTTCCCTAGTTGGTACTCACGCACACGTCTCTTTCGAGACTTTAACCCTTGACCTCCCTTTGGGAAGTAAGAGACTGATACCGCTAGGCCACTGGCCCGTTGGTATTACTAGCTAAATTGTATGGTTCTAGGCACTGAGTCTGAAATATTTATGGCATAAGAACTATTTTAGGAATTCAAGGTTTTTATTTTTATTTATTTATTTATTTTAAAGAAAATGGCGATTATGGTTGCTACAATTTCATGTTGTATTTAATTGGTATGACGTAATTATAACCTATGAATGCGAATTCCTACCCCTACTTGTGGTCTAAGCATAATCACAGATTTACAGTCTCCTTCTACCTCCTTTTGGGTAGCCCCAACAACTGAGCAGTTTCAAACCCTCTCTAAGGATGACTTATGCCACCTCGGCGCTGCTTAGAATCTATGAGAATCAAACCCCCACCAGCTGCTCTTTGATCTTTTAAATTCAGGTGGGCCCAACGCATCTCTAACCCTATCTTTCTTTATTTCTTATTATTATTATTATTATTATTATTATTAGGGAGGCTGATATTGGCATTCCAAGATTATACTTAAGGCACTCCACTTAAATATATATATATATATATATATATATATATATATATATAAAATAAATGAGAAAAATGACCTCAAAATTGTTTCAATGCATACCCCCCTCCTCTTTGGTAGGATTCACTCTTCATGTTCCTGTTGTTTCTCTTTCACTCATCTTTACCTCCTCTCCCTACCATCTTTCCTCTTCTATTAGCATCTAGATTGCCCTAAATATATTAAAACACAATTTATTGTCAAATTGGAAAAGAACCCGTAACAGTGAAAGAATGGAGATGAAACAAAATTATTTAAACAATATTGACGATGAAAATGAGGACAACAAAACAAACATGACATAATAGAAATGTCAAAGATTATAATCATAAATTGTGTAGTGTATATGCCATCTAAGTCATTTTTTTTTTTCTTCCATAGCTTTTCAATTTTAGATTATTTATTTATTTATTTATTTTTTAAATTGCCTAGTAAGTATATATAACTTTTACTTTTCCCAACTTTGATAGCTTCATCTTTTTTTTTCACACTGTCTCCATTGAGGTTCGAACTCCTGACCTCCCTTTGGAAAGTAGGAGCCTTATATCACTAGGTCACAAGCCTGTTGGTGATAGCTTTATTTCTTGATAGAAATATAAATTCAATGTTCTTAATTCCTACTATTTATTTATTTATTTATTCCATCTAATCTCAAAATTTGACTGAAGAAGACTAAGTGACGTAAATTTGCCAGAATTATACATAACTCATTGGCTATTAGTACACGAAATAACTAATATTTGATAAATAGGTATTTGTAAATGGTGGATGTTAGGTGTTCATGATTCAATTAGAGTAAAAACATGAAACATACAAAAGAGAAAGACAAGAGAGTAATTTGATGATAGGCCTCATGATTTAGTTAGAGTAAAAAAAAAAGACCTACAAAGATAGAAAGAAAAGAGATGGAAACTATATATTATTTTTTATTTAGAGAGCCGAATAAATAAAAGTGGAGTGTCAGGGTACAATCTTAGAATGCTAATAACAGCTCTCTACTACTACTATTATTATTATTATTATTTGGACTATTGTGATGTTTGACTTTTAAAATATGACATAATCACAATTGGACACATATAATCCTCTCGTTCCATATGTATTGGGTGAGACGAAGGGATTTAATAACTCCGGTGTCTTTGTAAATTGGCTAACCCTTCCGGGTTTATACTAATCTCAATTCAACACAAGTTAGCGGCTACCGAAGTAAAAGAAAATACATCACTTGGACTTGCATTGGTGAGGCAGGCTACATGATCTTTTCCCACATGTGAGTAATTATAGTAAAAAAAATTTAGGAAATAAAATTTGGGATTGGTTCAATGGGATTCGAATTTTTAATCTTCAAAATGTGAGAGGGTGTATTTGTCAATAGACTATTCCTTTGGAGTTTATCCCAATCTCGATTCAACACAAATTGGTGGTGGGTTAAGTTAGTAGCCACCGAAGTAAAATAAAGGTTTTTTTTTTTTTTCTTCAAAAAAATAAAGTTCATTACTGGCGTTTTGGTGATGAGGTAGGGCCACATTCCAATTTTCAAGCAAAACAACTATTTTTATTTATTTATTTACTTTTATTATGGTTTTATAATCAAATTATACTCGGCTAAAGATATTCCAAGGCCTAAAATGACCTTTCTAAGCCTAATTTATGATTAAATTACTACTCGCACCCTCTTAAATTTGTGCTAATTACACACTATAGTCGAAATAGGGTATAATTACACTCCCCCTAAGATAGGGGCATGGGCTCAATGACCCCCACCTGTAGAGAATATTTACATAAAAAGATGTTATTAACCTTATAAAGCACCTGAAAGCACAAAGAATTTTCCCCAATTATAGAGAGAGAAACTTTACACTTCCAAAATATTTTCCAACCACTTTTCCCTCTCATTTCCGTCTATTTATAGATGGTTACAATCACTCCTGGGCTGGACCTATCTTCTTTCCTTTTGCTTGGGCCCAACTCCTTTCATCACAATGCCGGCTTCCTTAATGACTTCCTGGACCTGGGCCCATTCAGCGAGGACTTGCTCCATCTTGGTTGCCCATATCCGACCCGTTCTTAGCAATATGAATCATACCAAGCCCGGGTCACTTTTGGTGTCTTCATCTGCCCCCATAATATTTCCCTTAATTAATTAGGGTGAGATTATTGAAAAGACACAATCTTGGTTTGACGGCTAGGAGTGATGACATAGGGAATTGAACGGCTGGCACGAAGACCCAGACTCCGAGATCTGCTATGCCACTTTTACCTTAACCTTTCGAATTCTGTGTCACCTCCATTTCTTCTCTTTAAAAACCCTAATCCTCTCAATCCTTGTCTTCCTTTAACATATCTTACTTTTATCCTCTGTTGTTGTCTTCTTGGGTCTCTTCTGTCATCTTCCTGCATTTTTCGGCGATCTTTCTTCAGTTTCTTTGGCGAGTTTTTCCTTCGCGATTTGGCTCTTGTGCTGTTGCAGAGTACTTCACAAACTCCTTCCTCAGGGTCAGTTTTTTTTACTATTCTTTTTTAAAGAAAAACCTTCATTATCAGAAATTCCTCCCCTTCTCCATGGCTCCCCTTAATTTGAATGCCATTCGTTCCAAAAATAGCATTCCCAATGACGTTCCTCTCAGGATCTACCCCACAAACCTGGATGGGAGCTCTGGTGAGGGTCTCCTTCCTGGGGAGATTTTATTCTCTGCCGTCCACTTAAACGTAATTAGGTTCCCCTTACATCCATTTTTCTGCTATATCTTCAGCAAATTAGGGTTTTGCCCTCTGCAAGTTAACCTTAACTTCCTTATGGTAATTTCAGTCCTTCTGCTCTTGAACCGTGACAAGGGTCTCAATCTTGACGTCATTGAACTCCTCCTCTGTTACCGAGTTAACAAAATCAAACATAGTGAGCTGTACTATCATTTATTTCCTATTGAAAAACGATCGATCTGTACGGACAAGAACTCCTTTGAAAAAGGTTAGAGACAAAACTTGATTGGGGTCAGTGGGAATTGGCGGACTCCGTTCAGCCAATCTTTCTCTATCCCCTCCACCTTTGGAGTATGCTCTGTTTTTGGTTATAAAAAACTGAAAACGCATCCCACTGAATGCCACTTTGAAAGTTACCTTCCCCGTTTTTGTACTTTTCTTTGTAGATGCCTTCAAATACCTCATGATGAACTAGTTTATAGCATTTGCAGGGCCAGGCTAGACATCTTACAAGAGAGTGTGTTGAACAACGTCCCTTCAGCTACAGAATTGCTCACTCCTGGCAACCTCTCTGACATATCTCTCCTAGGATCTACAATAGAAAGCATTCAGATTCCATCTTTCAGCAGGAGGAGGCATCTGCTCTCATCTCTTCTGTTGCTCCTGTTACCATACCTTCCTCTACACCTGCTACCACATCATCCACCTCAGCTGTCTCAGCTCCGGAACAGGTTATGACTGTTCCAGTTATAACTCAAGTCGCAGATCATTCTGCTGACGGGCCTTCTGCATCCATCCCTGCTGGGACCCGTGGTATGGATCATTCTGCTGAGGCCCATCCTGCTGCTCCTACCAATGTGCCTTCAAACATTCTGTCTGACACTTCCTCAGAGAGCACTCAAGATGCTGGGGGATCTTAGAATAATGGAGGGTTTCCTCCAGTTAGAGCTGGTATGTCAGAGAAAAGTCTGGGAAAAAGGTCAATGCCTGAGGGCGGTCATGACCATAACGACGTCCCACCAGCTCGGAGGACCAGGATGGCTTCTTTCAAGATCACTGAACCCATGCCTCCACCTCAGCTTTTCATTCCAGAGGGTGAATCTACTAGAACCTTTGGTCCAGCACCTTCTGTTCTTCCATGGCGCCCTCTGCTCAGCTATGAAGATGGCTCGACCATTGGCCCTACAGATTCTTTATACCAGGACTCCCTCACTTCTTTTGCTTTCTACAAGGGTTTCTGGACTCACAAGGATCTTAAAATCCAGAATAAGATAACCTTTGGTGAGATGTACCGGTGGTTCCCAGCAGCTGATGTTGAGGTAACTTTTCTTCTTATTGAGATACGTCTCTTTTCTATTTTAACTATTTAGTGGCCGACTTGACCAGAACGTCCCTTCCTCTATGCAGACTCTATTTGGGATGTTCACCTTTCAGAAGACTATTGAGGTTCTGAACAAGAAGCTCAAGTCTCTCTCTGCTTGCCTTAAAAGATCCGTTGAAGCAGAGAGCCGACTTGAGGCCAAAAATGCGAAGCTTGTGTCTAAGCTGAACGAGTCAGAGAAAGAAACTGCCGCCTTGAAAACTGAGAAAGACGCTCTGGCAAATGAGAGGGACGCCCTGAAAGCTGAACGGGAGGCCCTTAAGGATGAACAAGACTCTCTTCAGGATGAAGTTGATGTCCTGAAGATTGAGAAGAACGTCGCCTTGACTGAAAGGGACTCACTGAGCACTGAGAAGGGAGATCTTCAACGTACACTTATTACTGAACGGTTGACCCATGCCAACTCAAAGGAAAAGCTTTTAAATGAACGCTCTTCTTTGCTGAATATGATTGGCAAAGTTGAGGGTGGTATGAGAGCTTTCCTCGCTCGCTTCACTAGAACTAGTGCTCTCAGGTATGCTGAAGGGTACAGAGACGGTTTTA